AGGTGCCTGTGCAGTGACCTTCTGGCAGCACAGGACATGTATGGCTTGATGCTGGAGGTGCCTGTGCAGTGACCTTCTGGCAGCACAAGACATGCATGGCTTGATGCTGGAGGTGCCTGTGCAGTGACCTTCTGGCAGCACAGGACATGTATGGCTTGATGCTGGAGGTGCCTGTGCAGTGACCTTCTGGCAGCACAGATATCACAGAAGCACAGTTCCGTTTAGCGGCATGACACAAATGGGAACCTGACTAAATGCCAAATGAAAGCAGCCTGGTCCACACTTTTACACCCAGCAAAACGCCTTGTGGCAGCAGAGGTCCGGCCCAGCCCAGGCTCGTGGGAGGCGCCGCTCTTGGCTGGCGGCAGACCTTTGAAAGGAAATGTTTTATTTCGTTTGAATTGAACTTGTGGTGCCAGCTGACACGTTGTGATCTTTAAGCATCCTTCATAAGGGGTCCTTTCAGGCAGCCCCTGGCCGGGATCACACACCCCATGGTTGCGGGGGGGGGGGGCACAGGAAACAAGAATGCACAGGTGGAGCAGTAGCAGAATGTCCTATTGGTGGGCGCGTAAGTGTGTGTATGGGCATGTACAGGTGTGTGAACATGCATAAGGGTGCGTATCAGCATGTAAGGTACTGGTGTGTACAAACGTGTGAGTGCATGGACGGGCATGAACAAGTGTGTGAAAGTGTGTACAGGCCTGTACAGGCATGCATACAGGCATGTAAGTGTGTGTACAGGTGTGTGAGTGCACATATAGACATGTGAGTGTGTGTATGGGCATGTGAGTCCACATGCAAGCATGTACAGGTGTGTGGGGGTGGGTTTGTGTGTGTACTGGCATATACAGGCATGTGAATGTGTGTTCAGGCATGTACAGGCATGTTAGTCCATGTTTAGGTGTGTGAGTACATGTACAGGCATGCGAGTGCGTGTAGTGGTGTGCATAGGTATGTGAGTACGTGTATGGGCAGGTGAGTGTTAGTGCATGTACAGGCATTTCAGTTTATGTACTGACATACACTGATGGGTATGTACAGGCAAGTGAGGGCATGCATGGGAATGTACAGTTCTGTGAGTACATATATGGGTGTAGGAGTGCAAGTACAGGGGTGTGATGGCATGTACGGGCGTGTGAGGGCATGTACTGGCGTGTGATGGCGTGTACAGGCGTGTGATGGCATGTACTGGCGTGTGATGGCATGTACTGGCGTGTGATAGCATGTACAGGCTTGTGAAGGCATGTATGGGCATATACAGATGTATGAGTGCATATATGGGCGTGTGAGGACATGTACTGGCATGTGAGGGCATGCATGGGCGTAGGAGTGCATGTACAAGCGTGTGAGGGCATGTACGGGCATGTACAGATGTATGAGTGCATATATGGCATGGATAGGCGTGTGAGGGCATGTACGGGCATGTACAGATGTATGAGTGCATATATGGCATGTATAGTCGTGTGAGGGCATGTACGGGCATGTACAGATGTATGAGTGCATATATGGGCGTGTGAGGGCATGTACAGGCGTGTGAGGGCATGTACAGGCGTGTGAGGGCATGTATGGGCATGTAGAGATGTATGAGTGCATGTATTGGCGTGTGAGGGCATGTATAGGTGTGTGAGGGCGTGTACAGGCGTGTGAGGGCATGTACGGGCGTGTGAGGGCATGTATGGGCATGTAC